AACAAATTGTGTAATTGAATTGGAGAATCTCCCTTTGGGACCCCACTCCTCCCCCTAGAGAGCCAGAGTATTATGAGAGAGACCCTCTGTTAAACGGTATTCAGTCTTCTTAACCAAGTAATGCTCCAGACCATTGGTTTGAAAACATCATCAAGCCATACAGAAGGACTTCAAAGGATGTACTGTTTCAGGTGATTTATGTCCTCAGCCAGAGTCATATGAGGACGGGTGTCACCTATAGAAGAAAACTGCAAATCGAAGGAAGTGCATGTGTTGACGGAAAGAATACAGTTACTTATAAGAATTTCCTATGTGCAAAGGGCTATATCTCCAGAAAAAATAGAACATGGACACTGGATTCTAACTCAAACTGTAAACCATTATACATGTATACTAAGATGCAAATAATATGGAAAACAGTTAATTATGAGAATTTCCTATGTGCAAAAGGGCCATAACTCCAGTCAAAAATGGAATTTTAATACATGGTTCAAACTCTGTAATCTATTATGATAAAGCCACAAACAAAGGTTCAAATTGATATGGCAAGCGGTAGCGAAATAAGTCCAAAAAAAGGGTTATTTTGATAATTTCCTATGTGCGAAGGGCCATAACTCCAGCAACGAATGAAATATTGACACAGGGTTTGGACTCTAACTGTAATCCATTATGATAAAGCCACATACTAAGTGGCAAGCGGTAACGAACAAAGTATGGCAAACATTTAATTATGAGAACTTCCAATGTGTGAAGGCCCATACATTTTGGCACGCAGTTCGAACTTGATCTGTAATCTATTATGATTAAGCCATATACAAAGTTACAAATTGATATGGTAAATGGTAGTGAAAAAAAGTCTGGGAAACTTAAATGTGACTGCCGCCGCCAACGACAACGTATGATGACGGACAGACTGATCCTTAAGTGTTCGCCATGCTTCTCAGGCGGCATGACTAGTAAGAGAAGGCAGAACAGTGAAGAAAGAAAGGAAAAATTTAAGATCCCAAGTGTGTTGCAATGGGAGCAGAAGATCTATTTCGGTCTGTTCAATGTCCCCCATGTAGTAGACATGAAAGAAAATCCCCGATTCTTCAGCCTGTTTTTGTTGTCATTACTGTCCAGCCTGTAACATCTCATCTTTGCTAGCCAAGCGTTCATTTTGTATTCACATATTCATGTATTCAACCTTAGCGGATTTAGCCTTGTTCTCTAAGCTTTCAAATTATTGAACCTGGCACAGGGGTTTGGCACGATTACCGTCCTATGGTCCACATATTTTTTGTATATCATACATAATATAATACACATATGTGAACTGAGGGTTAGAAATTAATATACCAAGTTCCTGTGCATGTAAATAATAATGGCGGCGCCCAGTACCAAGTTCGAGTATGTCATGATTTATATAAAAAACAACCAAAGGAGGACAATACTTAAAGACACATTTCCTGTATATGATCAGCTGGTATAGATAATTGGCCATATTCTAACTGTAAATGATAACCAAGGGAAATACATAGGCGACCATTGCTGAAATAATCTTGAAAGTTTAAAGTTTTGCTAGTAAAGTGTCTATGCAAGGTGGCAGGGGAGGGAAATTAAACACAAGGCTTAATCTGCCAAGGTTGAGTAGTACAATTTTAAATTATGAACCCTTGGCTATTGAAGATGGTGAGATAACGAGGTTCGATTGTAAAATAAGATGTGTATTCAGCAGTATGCTCCAGTGAAATTACACTATAAAATCAGCATCAGTCCTGCGCTATCACAAGGAGACAAACATGAACATACCACAGACTCCCAAAACACAAATTAATTATGCACAAACTCACCACACGCATGCATCTAGCAAATGGGGAAGGCCGTCCTTAAATGACCATGTATAGCTGTTGATAGGACATACATTAAACAACACTTAATCAAACCTGAAGTTCATTTTGACATAAAGATCTTATTTATTTGGATAATTTCATGGAAATGATGACTTGTTATTTTAAACAAATGATTTGTTAATTTCAGCTTGCATGCACTGTATGAATGTCATTTTAGTAACATTGTACCCATATGAATCCATGATTGTCGTGAAGTGGTGCTTTATTTGAATTTAATACATTTGATGCTCTATTACCTGACCTGGAACGCATTTGTAGTTATACCGAGACAATTACAATACTGTGGTATAACTGTTTAAGCGTCTGCGAAACCAGCTGTTCTAACTTACAAACGTCCAGGTGACGAGAAAGAACATTAGAGGAGTGTTTCTGACTTATGACAGGAGCTGTAGGGAATTCACACTTTTCAATTTGTACTTTTCTTCTTTTTGGATAACGATGCTTTAACTTGTAAGCGAAAATACATCACTGGCGTCACGGGCAGCATCGATACTAAAAACTTCTTATAATATTAACGGCTGCCAAACCCATGCTCCTGGTTACAAATAAATGCTATGTTCCAATCACCTGCCCTCTGGACTGGTTTTTAAGTAAGTCGTTTTAATGCCAAATTTTGTACATCATGATTGTTTAGCCTCTTTATCTTAATCCTTCCAACGTAGGTAACTTGTGATAAAAGTTGTAGGTCTGCGCGATCGCAAACGTATAATGCTGCTATTTTCGTATAAATGTATGTTAGTACTTGCTGTGATAGTAATGGATTAAACGAGTTTTACCTTCTGTTGTATTCTAGCACATCAGTGTCTCAATACATACGGTATTAATCTGTTAATGTTCGATAAACGTCTGTTTATTATTTCTGTCCTGATTATTTTGTGAGGTATTTCCGGGTCACGTTCTGGTATCAAGTGCGCTTCCGGTTACGTCATAAAATGCAAAATCTTTTTGATATTTATTAATTAAAGATAGTTTAAAGAATAAACGAGTTAATAAAAACAATATCAATAAATTGTAAATATTATTTTCTTAAATGTTCGCGAAGCAGACGACGTTTGATCATAATCTCGAAACTAGAACATTTTTTCAAATAAAATTTGTTTTAACATTTGAAAGAAAAAGTTTGAAGGGGAAAAAATCAATATGTTCTTTTATGAATGAATGAAAGTGATACAAAAAAGAAATATATTAATTAATTGATAGTAAATTTATCAAAAACATCATCCTTAGAGAGTATGTTCTGGGCATGATCGATTAGAAGCTTTGCAATACTTCCAACTCTTTCAAACGCGCATCAGCCCGAGATTAGACCCTGTTTTCAAAATGGCGACTGGAAGTAGCAAGGCGGATTAAATTGGAAATTCAATTGTGAATATTTCGGCAAGTAAACATTGTTCACAAAGCCCATGTGGTCTGTTCATCTAATTTAGTCAAGATGTACTCAGATCAGTCGTTGTTTAGTCGCTAGGGTCATTCACAAAAAAAAAATAGTATTATTATATAAACTTATTGTAATTATTTTAAATCTTATTAGTTATTAACCATTAATCACCATAGTTTAAGCATATTATATATAGCGTAGTATACATTCACATTTAAAACGACAAGGAAATGAATAAAAGTAAATAATCAAGATAAATGATTCAATCCGGAAACTAAAAGGTGCCGTGTTTACGTTTGATTTTATCTTTATACTGTAAAATCATGGCGGTATCTACATGTGTTCGGAATTTGATGCGGTTTCTGGATTGCTATAATCGTTTCCCGTTATTTTGTGTGGATATACATTGAAGGGTGTTATTAAATATCTAGCATATGAAATATTATTCATCATTCCGATATTCTATTTGTAGAAGAAGAGTTCCGTTGGTGAGTTTAAATTTTATTGATGTATTTGTGTAATGCTGTTTATAAACACTACTCGACTTGCTCTTATTACGAACACGTAGGTTGTTGTCCTATATATACTGCACTCACACACGCGATAGTTTCCATTTCCTGTTGACATTTTCTATCATATTAAACTGTAAATGTCCAGGTCATAGAAGTTTAGATGATCCGTCGGGAATGTAGATAATTTCCTCTTAACTATTCACCACCATACTCTTCCCTTTATAAGGCAAAAGCTGATCTGTAGAATTATACAAAAGGAAACCAATTGACATTACTTTCAAGTAAAAAACTTCTTTTTAGAATTATAGTACAGAAACAATGGGCCTAACTTGATAGTAACTTTCGCAAGATAATTGATATCCAGAAAAAAACCCGTTTCAGATAATCAATGAGTCATGCATTTCAACACGAATACTAATCAACTGTCGACAGCTCCTTGAAATAAAAAAAAATATTACCGATTTCAAAAGGGAATGAGATAGCTACATTTTAACGGCCTACTTTCAATTCGCAATTACAATCACAATTTTCGTATCCTTTATCATGATTAATAGTCAGTGGGTAAACCCGATAAATAGTCAGGGGCTGACCTGATTTACTATTAGGGGGTAACCTGATTAATAGTCAGGTTACATCCGATTAATTGTCAAGGGGTAAATTTGATAAATAGTCAGGGCGTGAACCGATTAATTGTTAAAGGGTAAACCCGACTAATAATCTGGGGGTAAACCCGATAAATAGTCAGGAGGTAAACATGACTAATAGTAAGGTGGTTAATCTGATTAATAGTCAACGGGTAAACCCGATTAATTGTTAAAGGGTAAACCCGAATAATAATCTGGGGGTAAACCCGATAAATAGTCAGGAGGTAAAAATGATTAATAGTAAGGAGGTTAATCTGATTAATAGTCAGCGGGTAAACCCGATTAATTGTTAAAGGGTAAACCCGAATAATAATCTGGGGGTAAACCCGATAAATAGTCAGGAGGTTAATCTGATTAATAGTCAGGGGGTAAATCCGATTAATAGCCGGGAGGTTACCCGATTAATAGTCAGTGGGTAAACCCGATTATTAGCCGATAATTATCTTGGTAAACACGAAAAGTAGCCAGGGAAAAGGAATAAATACTTGATTCGTTGAATGTAATAATTAAAAACTATACAAAACAATATTCATATAATATTTGTATTTATTCATAATAAATGTGCTATCCCTGCCGTAGTAACATTAAATCATAACATCTTTTGATAATACAAAGTATATGTATATATATAAATGTAAAAACAAAAAATCTCAACAACACGTCTATAATATAAAAAATATACAAATGTATATAAAAATAATAACTTAATTTACAACCTTTATTGCTCTGACATTTTTTGATAATAAAAAGTACATTTATATATAAAAATGTAAAAACAACAAATCTCAACAACACGTCTATATCATAAAAATTATACAGACCTACACTTTTCTTTTTCTCGTGATTTGTGTTTACAGTGGTTCAAATATAACAGTACATTTCATGAGTTATGTAGTAGTTTTTAACATGTGCCGAATGAATTAGATGACACAGCAAACACTTTGTCTGTGTCGACGTTGACTGGATCATTCTTGTAGATCATGACCAGGGGGATTCCCGGTTTCATCATCTTATTTATAGCAGCGAACTCTGTAGCGGATGAGTTTTCAAAAGGACAAGAAAATCCTACCTTTTCCCCTTTGGGAACTTCACCTGCTAGATTACGAAACAAGCCTTTTGCTACACTTTTGTCATCTGCATACAAGGGAGCAATCTGGTTGTAAGAATCCTGGGAACGGAGCACTCCGTATCCGCAAACCTTACCGCTGCGTAAAGCCACATAGGTCTTGGACTTGACATGGTATATCCAATTCCTCATGTATTTCTCCCTCGCCACTTTGTGAATCTCTGTATCGTACTCCAGCAGGTCGGGGAGGCTGACCTGTCCTAAGGGGAGTATCGTGAAATCCTCGCCACCCTTGTTCTTACACGTCCGTTGGTCGATGTGGCCGTAATTGTACCACGTCATGTATGCTTTGTTTGGCTGGACGCCATGTTCTTCCTTGATCTTTTCCTGATAATAAGGCCACACAAACGTTCCTAGGTTTTTGGTTCCGACTTCCTGATGGATTTTCCCGTACAAGTCCATTCCTACGTTGGACTTTCTGTATTCTTTCTTCACCATCCACAGCCCCATCGTTGCTACGTTATCTGCGTGCGACATATACCCATGGGAGCCTAGAAACATGGAAAAGAGCAATGCTTGTTTAAAACATCGGACATTTATTTAGAAAACACTTGATCTTCAAAGTCCATCATGAAGTTATCTCAATAATCATATACTGGGACCAACATTTCCGATAGACATAAACTTTTTACATTGTGAGAGAAGCAATCGAAGGTCTTGTTTATAGATAATAAAGAAAAACACAGGGTCCCGTGTAGACCCGCTGTATACACTGGGACAGGGTCGATGTCTTGCTTCACCTGAAGACCGTTCTGGGCCCAGTTGTTCAAAAGGTGATTAGCTTAATCAATGATTAGCGCAAATTTTAATTTTAGCGTAACTTTAAAACACAACCATTGAATTAGTTACAACTTTCCAGATATCAAATATTTAGTAGAGTGAAGTTACATGCAATATTTTGAGATTTTACCTTGTATATTGACGAAATTATTAAAGGTTGGAAAATGTTGTTAAACAGTGATTAAGCTAACCACGCTTTGAACAACTGGACCCAGAATTATGAATGGTTCGGTAAATGAGGAATACATTGGGGCACAAGGTCTTGTAACCAAATATTTCAGAAGTATGCGGGATTGGTTCAGACGGGTGTTACAGTAATATCCTCCATAACCTGTACAAGTATTATCTGGGATTTTCGCCCCTAGCATCATCGATGAGTCTGATAAGGACGGAAAGCTGTATGATGCATTGTGATTCATTTTGGCATATTTAGTTATTTCCATTTTAAGGTGCAGTTATCTATACGTGTATTACGTTCATCGTTCTGTTATGGCCAAAACATGAACATTTGTAACAGATAAAGAGTTTGTTGACCACATTTCCCCTATCTTTTTATTTCTGCATATGTTCATGAACACATTTTAGTCGGATATTGCCATTCCTGTCAACGTTGTTTGGATTCTGTATCGACTTACTTCATTAAAAAGAAAGTTTTCCTAACATCGTATATTTGTAATTATTATGATAAAGTATTGATGAATGGAAAGGTAGTAAAATGATATATATCTGGACAAAATGATATTACGTTGAAAGTAAAACAGTAAGCACCCTACCTATTATTTCACCGTCATCCTTTTCGGCGACAAAGAAGCCGGAAGGATCAGTTTTAAAGGCACATTCCGTGTATGCCTTCTCCATCACCCATTTCTCGCTATCCATTATGTTGTTGATGGCTGGCAAGTCTTTGTGTTCCATTTGTCGGATGCTGTAGGTCATTGGTCGTGTTTCACTGTAGCTATAATATATATGTATTGATATATGATAGGTGTGGTAACGATAGGAAACACACGTGTATATTTCTTTAATATTCTTTTTTTGCTATACATACATTAGAATATATTAACACATATATACATGCATAATTAATAGATTATGTAGTTCTAAAATAATTTCATGTTTTATTCCTGTTAAAATAATGCTATGATTCATTGAATGAATAGAATTTTTTTATAATTCGATTTTTATTTAAGATGGTGGTCAAATAATGTTTTTTTATTAAACTACTGACGCGGAAACTATTGATAATGAGTGTAACTTTTCCTGGAATGAATTGTATGATATTTGGAAATTTTTACAACTATAATGAATCATATCGTAGACTGTATATTTCTTTAATATTCATTTTTTTTCTATACATACATTATAAAGTGTTAACACACATATATATGCATACTAATAGTCTGCTGGATAACTGAACTACTCGGTAGTGAAGTAGACGTAAATTAAAACCACTCAAACAAATACACAAACTAACACCTAGACTTTTATATCGTGGCTAGCGAACTTCTCAAAATTTGACATTTTCAAAGTAATCCTATTGCCTATGAATGCCAAATGAAAGCTTTTTTCGGGGTTAAATTTCCTTTTTACATGCGCACTCGTACACACATACCAAATCTTGATACGTACGAGTAGTATTACATCTTTCATCCAAACCGCCGTACAGATCATTGGTAGGGTAAGAGCAAACGGTCTTTTTAAAGCACACCCCTGACAATTCATTGTGGCATAAATTTAAACTGATCTCAACGCCTAATATCTGTATTTAAGTAAGTCTTTCCAAACAACTATATTTGTTTGAAGTGTCAATTTTAGTAAAATATTTAGATATGTACCATTGTGTAAGATTTCTGTTCGCCGATGCTAGTGTTGACCTGGGAAATCGTCTGAAGAGAGTGCTGAGCATCCTTTAGTCTTTGTTCAAACTGTTATTAACGTCCGCTTCGTATGAATGAGATAGTTATTAGTTATATATGTACCATACATACATATATATATATAATACACCGAATATTACAGATGGTATTTTCCTCATACGACAGAAGAGACCGAGGGGAATATATATATTTCTCCGTCATCGTCTGCTTTGTATGAATGAGAGAGTTATTAGTCATATGTACGGCAATTCCAGATGGTTTTCCCCTCAAATGACAGAGGAAGCTGAGGGGAAATACACACATAAAAATAGACAAAATCCCAACCACCAGTTATTCTCCCTACATGTTCTGACTGTAACGGTGTTTTTAATAGATTATGTAGTTCTGAAATAATTTCAGGTTTTATGCTTGTTAAAATAATCCTATTATTCATTGAATGAATAGTATTTTTTATAATTCGATTTTTATTTAAGATGGAGGTCATTTTTCATTAAACAACTGACGCGGAAACTATTGATAATGAGTGTAACTTTTCCTGGAATGGATGGTAGGATATTTGGAGATTTTTACAACTACAATGAATCATATTGTAGACTGTGTAATTCTACCACAATCAATCTACACTGATCGTTGAAAGTGTCCTATTTTTGTTCCTATACGGAATAATCTCTATGTTGTATTTTGTTTTTCCCTTGACCCTTATGATACAAGTAGCAGTTCATCTGATTTAAAAACCACCAAACAAGTGTTAATTGATGTTACAACTGTTACACAGTATGATATATTTGGTATCTTTTTGGAAACTTTCACAATTACAGTGAATCATATTGTAGACTTATAGTTCTACCACAATCAATCTACACTGTCCGTAGAAAGTGTCCTAATATTCGTCCACTCTATGTTTTATTTTGTTTTTCCCTTGACCCTTATATTACAAGTAGTTAGTCAATGATTTAAATACAAACAAACAAGCGTGTATTGCTATTACAACTATAACAAAATGGCGGCTATCCGCAGCATACTAGTTAAGCACGGTTATAACTAAAAACGCATTTTCTAATATTTTGTATTAGTAGCTATATCTAGACAGTTACAATTTACAAAGACGACTAGAATTCTCTCTACTCCTTCTATCGGTGTAAATAATTCCTTTGTAATAGAGCATAGAATGGAAAAGCGATATTTTTTTCTGACAGAAAAAGAGACGTTTTGGAGGAAAGCTTTTAAGATTGATAAAACGATCTTTGGATTATCCAAATCCTACATTCTACTACTTTCGTTTTTTGGATTAAACTGTATTATTGATAGTATTTACAGATGATTTAATTTTGCTATATTCGCGGTAACCAAAGATAGCGCAAACATTAAGACTGCGAATATTAACACCCTCAATTATAATTTCATGAAAGATATATTTACGGCCGCATTACTGCCGAATAATGAAAATCAAACAGCAATTCATGTTTTTTTTTAACTTTATTTTCAAAAAACAACTTGTAGAATAAACCCAATTACAAAGATTAATACGAAAGTCCATTCGTGAGCGTAATATATTTACTTGTTCATGTTGCGAGAATTAAATCCCTTCAAACAGGTTCTGACCGGAACAACGCAAAATATAAGCCCTGCGAAATAAAACTACTGTACAGTAGTGTCAAACTATGACTGTAACACTAATTTAATGGTACTAAAATGTCAACAAAAATTTGGATAAGGAAAAACCGTTGCTTATAAATATTCATCTGAAGTTTCAGAATTCCGATCAAAAATCCGTTATTGTGGTGTAAAGAATATCTCTAATTGGACATGTGATTATACTGAAATTACTTTATTTGTTAATTGTCTTGACTCTAAAATTGTCTTTATTAAAGATCGTCCATAAAATCACATTTAGTGCAGCAAATTTTAAATACTATTTGAATTGGATAATACCACTCTTATATCAGCTGATTGAAGCCATGCTACATTATTTTCCTATCATTATGCGATCTCTTAATAATGTTGTTACTTCCTTTTTAATGAAAGTAAGTAATCGTGTCTTGTAAACATCGAACTCTCTTTATGACGTCACATCCCGTCACGTTATGTCGTGCGAGTGTTGAAATACGCAGGATAAGTAGTTACAATGCAATGTCAAGTACCGGAAACCTTTAACTTCGAGAAGATCATGAGATTCGTTGTTGTCGTAATACTTGTCATGGTAGGATATAGTAAAATATAAAGGAGGAGGAAGTTTTTCCTCAGCCTATTGAATGAAATCTTAAATTTCGTCACTAAACCTATGGTTAGTACTACGTATCAGCTATATATCATATGATTCAAATACAATAAACAAACAACCCGATAAATAAAAAGAAACACGTCGAAAATGTATTTTCACATACTTGTAATATACTATATATGCACTATGTTATTGACAGTTTATTGTCACGATGCTGTTTGTTTTAATGACGCAAAATAATAAATAATCAAACTTGTATGCACTTAATGGAGTTAATATGTTGTTTAGTCTAGTCCCGAGATGACCCATAATAGTCAGGCTTTCCCGCATGTGAAGGAGATATATTGAAGTTTAGTTTTGTCTCGAGATGATTAGTAACAATTATGCTTTCCTGAACTTGAAGGTAATATGACATTGTTATGTCTACTTTCGAGTTGAATGGACAACAAGCGTGCTTTCCTGAACTTGAAGGTAATGTGACATTGTTGTGTCTAGTTTCGAGTTGAATGGACAACAAGCGAGCTTTCCTGAACTTGAAGGTAATATGACATTGTTATGTCTACTTTCGAGTTGAATGGACAACAAGCGTGCTTTCCTGAGCTTGAAGGAAATATGGCATTGCTATGTCTAGTTTCGAGTTGAATGGACAACAAGCGCGCTTTCCTAATCTTGAAGGAGATATAATGAAGTTTAGTTTTGTCTCGAGATGATTAGTAACAATTATGCTTTCCTGAACTTGAAGGTAATGTGACATTGTTATGTCTAGTTTCGATTTGAATGGACAACAAGCGTGCTTTCCTAAGCTTGAAGGAGATATATTGAAGTTTAGTTTTGTCTCGAGATGATTAGTAACAATTATGCTTTCCTGAACTTGAAGGTAATATGACATTGTTATGTCTAGTTTCGAGTTGAATGAACAACAACCGTGCTTTCCTGAGCTTGAAGGAAATATGACATTGTTATGTCTAGTTTCGAGTTGAATGGACAACAAGCGTGCTTTTCTGAGCTTGAATGAGATGTGACATTGTTATGTCTAGTTTCGAGTTGAATGGACAACAGGCGTGCTTTCCTGAGCTTGAAGGAGATATGTTGTTTGTTAAGTGATGTTTTGCTGAAAGATATGACGAATTTTTTAGTTTTGTCTCAAGGTGATTAGTGTCAATAATGCTTATCTGAACTTCAAGGAGATATGTTGTTGTTTAATGTATTCTCGAGATGAATAGACAAAAATCAAGTTGTGTTGACCCTGAATAAAATATGTTCCTTTTACCATTTCCTGACAGTACTTGAATTTAACATAGATGAAAATTGCATGGATCTTTGTTAAATCAGAACACGGTTACCCTTCCGGAACACCAGGCATAGTCTTCATTCTCATTCTTATTCATCAAACGTCTTTGTGATATTCCAATTACACTGTTAATCTCTTTGTACATATATATAAATCTGGGTTATTGGTTCGGCCCACCCTACATTGTATATACCTAAAGTTACTATATTACAACTTCAATTTATATGTAGTATATGTTTGAAATGTAGGCCTTACTATATAGAAAGGGCTTGTATAGGCAATGCCTGTGTCCAATCCTATTGTTAATTGCAACAATAGAATAATTTTGAAATGAAAAGTATCTGTGTAATTATTTCATGTGATAAAATTATATAATTTGTGTTCAAATAACAGTGTTTTGGTACTTTCTAGTGTGTTTGCTGGATTATAAGGATAACATATGCTGAATTAAAGTACTCATTGTATGTAATTTCGTTTTTTAAGATATTCATATTTTTTCGCCATTGTCCCCTTCACATGTAATCGGTGACTGGCTTTAAATGTGTTAAAAGTCATACTTAGTGACCTGGGAGTGTATTGATTAGCTATCTTGTTCTAACTCACATTCCGTATTCAAGCCCAGTGTTTGGCTCCGGTGTAAAATTAATTAAATCTCACACTTTGTCAAAGAATAGGAGAAATTTTGGAAAGTGACAAAATACTGAGTCTCAACTCGGACATGAGCTTCTTGTCTTATGTCACGCATGCTGTTTTACATTTACATGTCATACATTTATATAGGATCTTACATGAGTTTCAATTTCATATGAGATGTATGAAACGGGTCTAGGAATGTTTTATTTTGTGAGCCTCTGGTTACATAAATTTCATATGAAAACGAGTGTAATATCTCTTTTATTTCATAATCATGATTTGTGGCATTTATTCGTGTAAAACAACAATTTAGAAATGTAAAAAGCCACCAATTTTACTCCAGTAGGGAAGTCTGTGGCGTCATGTACTTGTCATAGGCGTGACGTCACAATTGAAACTAATAGGTCATATAACATGGGTTAATACGCTAAAACAATAAGACATGAGTATATTAACTGGATAACACAGTACATTAAGTGATAAATGTACATATTACTTCTATATATATGCGAATGCAGGGTTCCATAAAACGAAATCATAAAATATTGATACATACGTCTTAGGACTTAGAATCTGAAGATTAACAAGTGCTGGTTTGGTTGACCAGACCTCATCGTCTATAAATCCTCAAGCATCTTGTTATTAAATCTATTCGAAAACTCAGTTTTGCGAAACGATAATTGAAACTTTGTATACAATGTCTGCATTGTGGACTTATGTATATAACTTGTAAGGAGTCAGATAACTACACTGCTGTTGTTGTGAGTTGCCGCGGTGGCCAAGTGGTTAAGGCGTCTGATATTCTGCTACTATTAGCCCTCCACCACTGGGTCACGGGTTCGAGACCTACGTGGGGCGGTTACCAGGTACTGGCCGTACGTCGGTGGTTTTCTCAGGGAACTCCGGCTTTCCTCCACTTCCAAATCATGGTACGTCCTTAAATGATCATAGCTGTTAATAAGACGTAAAACAAAACAAATGCTGCTGTCACCCTTGGTTTCCATATTTGTG